GTCACGTCTCAGAATGTCGTGAAAACGTGTCAGGATGTAGTATATGGTGCAAATAGTATAATGCATGTGATAGAAAACACCTTAGGAAAGTATTTCCTGAAAAATGACACATTTTGTGTTTTAAGGTCACGTCTCAGAATGTCGTGAAATGGTGTCAGGATGTAGTATATAGTGCAAATAGTGTAATGCATGTGGTAGAAAACACCTTAGGAAAGTATTTCCTGAAAAATGTCACATTTTGTGTTCTGGTCTGAAAAAAAAAGTCATACTATAGCATGTCGTTTTTCGCAAAAAAAGTCACGTCTCAGAATGTCGTGAAAACGTGTCAGGATGTAGTATATAGTGCAAATACTGTAATGCATGTGGAAGAAAACACTTTCGGAAAGTATTTCCTGAAAAACTACACATTTTGTGTTTTGGCCCATGAAAAAAAAAGTCATACTGTAGCGAAATGTCAAAGTCAAATACACAGAGGGCCAAAAAACCAAACTCGCTACAAGCCGAGGGCCGGACTGGTTCAATATTTATTAAAACACATTGAAATGATTGCACATAGCCTATTGAACCAAGAGTGTATATTATTTAATGAAGAAATCAATAAAGCAATATTTTCTTATGGATCTCTCAGTAATTTCAAGTGAAAACATTTTTCAACAGGCACACAGACAAAAACGAACTTCCTTCAAAGAAAAATCACATGTCCTGTACATTAAACGAATAAAGCAATATTTTGTCATGGCACTGTCAGTAACTTCAAGGGAAAACATTTTCAATAGGCAAACAGCAAAAAAGTAAATGTCCTTTAAAAACAAAATGTGTTTCTTAATATCAATATAAATGCATAGATGAAATTGCATGCATTATAAACGGAAAATGCATTATTGTGCTGCTCTATGATCCTACCAATCACTGCTTTCAAATAGTAAAATGAGAAAATAAAAAAATAAATCAAATCAGTTGTATTCTTTCTCTTTTCTGCAATTTTCCCTGAGTCCATTCGACTGAAAAATAAATATAAATAAATAAAATAAAATGAAATAAAATTACATTAAATACAAAAATATATGGCACACAGACAAAACAATACTTCCGTCAAAGAAAAATCACGTCTTGTAGAAACAAATGTAAAAATTTAACTGAATTAAAAACTGAAAATACGTTACTGCTCCACACAGAAGACACACAGGTTTGCCTTTTACCTCGGTGAACATGTACTCTGCCTCCCACCTGGCTTGAAACCCCCTGTTCTCAGCATCCACCTTCCGTTTAGCCATTTTTGAGGAGGGCTACTGTTGCATTGTGGGGAATGTAGTGTTGGTGCGTGCAAAACACCAGCGGGCGGCTGTGGCCTGCGGGACGGTTCTAATAGTGATTCATTATCATCTAGGGGGCCATAGATAATTCATTCAGCCATGTAGTGAGGGAAAATAAAACCTAAACAGAAACTTAAAATCTATTCTTCTGAGGTATCGCTTCCATAACTGGACACAAACTCCAGTGTTGTGGGTTCAGTTGTTGGTTTATCCCCCAACCACCCCGATACCTCTTCATGTGGATGAATCTGGCCACCTTTTCCAAAACGCCGCAGGTCACAAATGGCGTTTATTTCAAATGTTCCCTTGTAAACATATTTGAAAATGCAGTACAGGAATGTAATTTTGTAGAGACAGGGTTGGTTTAGAGGTGGCACGTAGAAGCCCAAGAAGCAAATTGTGGAAATCGGATATTTGTTTACAGGGTACAGGAGTTGAATCTAGCATCTTGCCTAACTTAAGCATGAGAAAATGATGAACAAAGACAGCTATGTGGGAAAACAGTCGAGATGCAGAGCCTGGATATGAGTGTGGTTCGCTGGGAGCAGATTGAGATGAGTGATTCCTGCAGCAGCTCTATCCTGCCTCCTTCAGTTGTTGGCCGTCATTGGCAAAGAACCAATCATCTGCAGGCCAACAGATGATCCACCAATCGCCAGCTGGTACCTGCGCTCTCCAATTTGGACAAGAAACCACACACACACCTGGCTTACATCAGCTGTTCCACACGGAGAGAGAACATAAGCCAGTTAGACAAGAATACCACCAAAGTCGGAGCTCTGCGTTGCCAAAAGCTTTAAACCTTGTGCATTGACAAGTTGGATAACGGAGTAAATCCTTTAGACAGGAAAGTGAAGGGTGCCTGATGGGGAAGTGATGCCATGTTTAAGGGTTTATCATTCAGCTGTTGAGATTCCAGATGATGTTTGCTTTGAAATCTTTATGCATTTTCCAATTTGGGATTAAAAACAGAGGCAAGACTACAGTTTTATAGCCTTTTCAGCAGTCGGTGTATTCAAAAATGCTCCAAAGTTTAGTAACCTGAGCTAATTTTCCAAACAAAAGTCTGTGAGGCTATTCTTATCCACAGAGGTACTTTGGGCTAAAACTTATCTGTCTAAATGTAAAGTCAGAGGATCACCAGAGTTGTTGTAATTAATCTTAAGTAGGACATAAAGATGTATCTCTACTGAGCAACACACAAAAGAACAAATATCGAATATTCTACATCCAGCAGCTGCAAAAGTCTACCAAGTGTCGGAATTCATTCAATAGAAGTCGCAATATTTCACAGAATAATTAAATTTTGACCTGTTGGTGGAGCGACATTAAAGATCAGGGGGTCACCGGCTCAGAAGGGTTCCTCCACTGGGAGCCATTAAGATCTCTACAAAACTATTAAGCAACTATTTAATGAGTTTTTAATGGATTGCAGTGGCACAGCAATCCATTAAATAGTTGTTGAGACGGTATATAGTCGGTCACCCTTAGAGCTCAGCTGCTGGTGTGACTAAAATACGCCCGTCTGTCTCAAATCGCTGAGGTTTAAATCAAATTCTGACATTATCTCCACTTGCATTGCCTCAGACAGAAGTTTGTCTAACAAAAAGGTACGTGACTTATTTAAAAGCGCCAGCCGACGAGGACAGATCTGCTGCATTCATATCTTTAAGTGGATGTTTCTCAGTCTTCATTTCATCACAAATTCACCATCCTCCCCTCCGTGGTCCATCTGTGCCGGTGTTTCTCTCCTCATTAGAGAGCTTACTGATGCATGAGGGAATGAGCTGGCAGGTCAGTGGCCACAAACACAGAGTGAGATTCATATTGAACAGCCTGTGAAAAGTTTCCCGCTCCGGCAAACAGGGAAAAAGTTGACCGCCGAGCTCCTTTAAACGATTATTTTCTATCACCGAGCAGAGACGAAGGAGTCTATTAAGAAATACAGAAGCAAGAAAAAAGGGGTCTTTCATAGCAAAACTGGTGGATGTTTTGGTCGAGCGAAACCTACACTGGCATTGAAAATAATCGGGGTGGACACTCTCTATCTCCCTTTTCCAGACTTGGCAAGGAGTCCGCATAGTTTCCTCCAGTGTCGGGTAAATTCCCTGATCACCAGGAATGCAGCATTTAATTTTCTTGTTCTTTAGCTGACCTTAATCATTTCTGCGTCAAGGGCAATCCGAAACTCCCGAGCCATGGGGGATCAGTCAGGCTGGGTGTGGAAATAAATACCTGTGTGTGTGTGTGTGTGTACAGTATATATCCATGTATATGTAAAAGGGAGTGAGGCCTGTCTCGCTGTCTTCATGAAGAGGCCATTTAAAGCGCTGATGATGAATAATAGGTTGGCTGAATGCGAGCGCTCGAGCCCCTCTGGTGTATATTTAAATGGCGGAGAGATGCTCTCTCACTCATATCAACTCCCCGGTGGTCCGGGAGGTTAATTGCTTTCTCCGGCAGGCGCTTACAGATTAACTATCTCACTGAATGCATCCATACAAATGACTCTGCATATACCACAATAAGTTTAGCAGAGCGCCGTATGTGTGTGTGTGTGTGTTGGTGCTTTGCAACAGAACATAGTGTATGCTTAGGTAGCAGCCACGGTGCACGGCGAGGTCAGGGAAGCTAATGAGTTCGAGTGACTTTGACTAAAGAAGTGGGCTCGGAAAACAAGACAGGAGTGTGTTTAGAGTATCTGCTGCGAGTCGTCTTCGGCTAAACGTAGCATTTATAATCAGGAATTATTGCTGGGGAATTGAGGTGAAAAGATTTGGAAGTGTAAAGCTAAACTTTACTTGGATAGCAAATGCAGCCGAAACAATCACATGATGTCCAAATGTGCATCTTATTGTCGTCCATTTTTTCTCTCTCTCCCAAAGTCACTGCACTGAGATCTGTCGACAACATCGCGTTTCCTCAGATATGTGAGCATCATATGAGCGTTCATTTGATCAGACAGGTTGTAAATAAGCCAACAGTTCTGCCAGATTATCTAAAGCACTTCATAAAGGGGCACAATGTGAAAGTGAGCATTCTTGAACAGGAAAACAATGTACGCACACAGCTAGGGTGAAGCTAAATCTGGA